GGCATTGCCAAGCCTGTAGGTGTGTGTATGTGTATGTGTGTGTGGGTGGGGAGGTTGTCCCCAGGTGAAGCACTTTACATTTCTTGACATTGAACTTCATTTGATTCTGATCTGCCCAACTTGCTAGCCTGTCTATGTCTGCCTGTACCTGCAGCCTATCTTCAACTGTGACCACACTTCTTCATAACTTGGTATCATCCGCAAAGTTGGACAGTGAGCTCTTCACCCCCGCATCCAAATCATTGATAAAGATGTTAAAAATCATTTCTTGGCTTTCCATGGATACAGGCTCCAGAGGACAGCTGAGGAGTGCTCTGGGCAGTGAATAGCTTTTGGTCTGATTGGTATGGTACTTTTCCAGGAAGCAGGAGATTTAGGTTCAAACCCTCTCTAGCTGCTGTGTAAGATAGTGCTGTTGTATGGCAGAGTAATGTACTGCACTGAAATGCACATGTAGACAGAGATCAGGTGGGGGCCAGACTCCTGCTTGCCACCTAGCCCAATGGCTCTGTGCTTTTAGCACCCTCATGCCCCAGCCAGCCTCTCCACCACCTGCTGCCGTCACCTGAAGCCCAGGGCTGACTCCACCTGCACCCTCCCCCCCATCCCTGCCAGCCCAGGCCTGCTGTACCTCGTTTTAAATTGCTGCTGTCATAGGCACATGTGTAAATGCACCTGGTAGCAGTTTACTCAGGCTCTAACTGTTCCAGAGTTTATTTCTTCACCTTAATTTCATGTGTAGATGCACCCACTATTATTAGTGCTATGGTCTCAAGTGTCCCCATGTATAGTAACTTGATTCATTGTCATATCTCTCCACCTTTTAGTAACCCAAACCAATCCATTTAATTTATTCCATCACTAGCCAGCCCTTTTACAGAAACAATATTGATATTTGTGCTTCTTGTTTAATTTGTATTTCAGTAACACCTTAAAGTTCTGACAAGATCACAAGCCCATGATTTTCAGAACCACATAAACAGAGAGTTGAGTTGTTCAAAAATTTTTGATCGAACCATTTTCCATCAAAAAATGCAGCTCTTTTGGAATAGAAATGTTGTGCAGAAATGTGAGAGGTTTGATCAGAACACCTCAAAACCATTCATTCCAACATTCTCATTTTGATGATGAGGAAACATTTTATTTTGATGTTATTGTTCTGTTTCCTTGCAACTTTAATATAATTTTAAAATGTGAATTCAAGCATAATATGTAGGTAAAGATAACATTTAATATTTTATGATATGGTTTTGATATTGTCAAAATGAAACAAGTCATTATTTCCAAGTGAAAATTCTTTAGTTTCCATTCTATAAGACGTTTGAGAATTTCATTTTTTTCATTCCAGTATAGGCAGGAAATGCTTTTCAAAGTGGCATAATTTCCCCTAGAATAAAAATTCTGTTTTCTGACCATTACTAGTGGTGAGGGGCAGCACTTGGCTGTTCCAGTTTACAATCTACATGCACAAAGGAAGGATAAGGGAGGCCTCCTTACCCCTGTTTAACAGATAAAGAACCATTGTACAGAGTAAGCAATTTGAACAAGGTCAAACAGAAAGGCTGTGGCAGGGACAGATCGCCTGCATCGTAAGCCAGTCACCATCCAGAATTTACCAGGAAGAGGCAGTTACTTTTTCTAAGACAACTTTCTGTACACTAGAAATTGTGAAAGCCAGTTGGATAAAGTGGGAACATCCCCAAACCTGGAGCTACACAAGGGAATGATGTGATTTGCCTCATGTCTGGCCATTTTTGGTCCCCCAGCCTGAAGGACCAGATACCCATTTATAGCTACATTGCCAGAGGGTGAGTGGTATTTAGCACAAATCCATAGTAGGGCCCAAGCTCAGGCCTCTGGAGTTGTAGCTATTCTACCATCACCTCCCAGCTCAGTCTCCTGTACCATGCTTAAAGATGAGGTGCTCTGCAGTGTTTAAAGCAAACCCCTGTGGTTCATGTTAACGTGCATCTCTCTTTTTCATAGGTGGGCCAAATATAGGTAATATCCCAACTTTCTGCTACATACTAACCTGTCACTTGGTTGCCTTTGAATTCATTCAGCACTTTATTTTGCTCTCCTGAGAGTGCCAAGTAAAGTTTACAGTATGTAATTTATATAATAACTGCTTCTATTAATGAGAATGAGTTTTGAGCCCAGGCATAAATGTTTTCCTATTGTTTGCAGTGTATGACACACTTGTTCTTTCTGCTAACATGTAATCATTATAGCTACGGACAGGGTAATTTAGACCAGATGCACTGGACTAAGTATCTGCTTTGTGAAATGAGCCATTCTTTTGGCACCCATTAGCATGCTTCTTTCTGATGTGTGCTGTGGGATGGTGTGCCTGGAAGATCTTCTAATCCAGCATGAGGGATCACTCCACAGTCAGACCAGTTACAGCACTTTTAATAACACAGCACACACACGGTCCATTGCTGTTTGGAGTCACTGGGCAAATATGAATGGTGTGGAAGGCACAGCCCTGGCTTGGAAGGAATATAGTGCCACACTACCACTTTGAAAGTTCCCAGAAGCCTGTCTTAGGCATTAGGGAAAGACAGAAAGAAGCCTCGGTACTATGGCTGTCTATACACATGCTCTGCGGTGGGAAGGGGGTTAATTAGAACAACTCCTGGACAGTAGCTTTAATTAAAATGCCACAGCATCAGGTGTATTCAGTGTCCTGTATTTCAAAATGGCCATGGGGGCAGTTCAACTAAAGCTTGTTCTATGAGTTTTAGTTAAAACACCTGTACCACCATTTTGAAATGCAGGACACTGTATGCACGTGATGATGAGGCTTGCTGTAGCTTACTAATTAGAACGCTCCAGAACACCTGGTTAATCAAGTCTGCTCTGGTGTTAATAGTCTGGGATTAATCAAGTCTACTCTGACGCATTCTAATTAGAATGGTTTGGAGCACAAGTACAGGCACCCTACATTGCACTTATACAGGGTAGGGCTGGTTCTCTGGGGACTGTAGAAGGGACATGAATCTGCCTGTCCCTTCCTTCACACTGTCAGCAAGTCCTTACAAATCTTTCCAGCTACATATCCTGCCTTGTCCATGTGCAGCTTTGTGTGAACCCCCAAGGGGGAGGGATAGTTGCTTGTAATTACTCCCTTTGAACCTCTCTGATTTTTGTTATGGCTATTGATCTTGTGTAGCAATTTCATCTCATGTAAATAAGATTGGTAAAGTCAAGCCTATCTAAATTAGCCAGTTCCCTCTGGGTACATCTACATGTGCTTTAATGCATCATGATTACTGCGCATTAAGTTTAGTACCTGTAATAACAGGTACTAACTCAATACACAGTAACCTGTAGTACTATGCAGTTGCACCAGCACATGCCTTTTTAGTGGCACTAATGCATAGTAGATTAATTCCACCATGCATTAGTGCTATAGCATGGCTTTTGCTGTGATGCTTTAATGTATAGTAGAATTAGTCTACTGCTTATTTAGTGTCTCATGTAAATGCACCCTCTGACCTCTAAAAAGAAATTTGGAAGAGACACCAGCAGCCTTCCATTGTGCTTTTCAGGGCAAGGGACTTTGGTGTTGTAATTCTTATCAGCTCCAATTTGGTGGCTTTTGTCACTCAGTCCAAAATGTGATTAGATTTGCTGATCAGGATCACAAAGTTCTTAGAGCTTCAGTCAAACAACTCACCAGTTCATCTTCCTTACTCTCTTCCTGGGCCATACATGGCCTTTCTATTACCCCTCAGAGCAACACTCTCCACTCCTCTTCTACCATTACCCCTCTGTCCTGACCTACAGCACCACCTACCTACGACTTCTGTGCCCCTCCTGAGAGGGGAAAACTCATTTCATGGAACCATTCATTGATGTTATAACGGGACCAGAATAGCTCCTTTGTTGAAGCCATTAAGCTCACTTGGATTTCTGACCAAAACAAAGCATAGAATGCAGGTCTGTAGAGGCAGATGATAGACACATTAACCTGTTTAGGATATGTCTATGCAATGAAATGAAGGTCACTGCGTAGACATCATGCTACCATGTAGGTACATCTGCATACTGTTACGGAGCAAGAAGAGATTGCAGAGCTTGTTGCTCGGGAATTAATTGCTCCCAGGTGTACGTTCAAATTGTGCATCCAGGAGCAATTAACTCTGGAGCAATAAGCTCCACAGTATATTCATGTGCAGCATGTGGAGCCAGGTCAGAGCAGCTCTGGCTGGCAGGGGGTCCCAGGGGCCAGCCTCCCAGCCTGGGACTGCTCCCCCCAGCTCAACATGCTGTAGGGGGGTTGCCTAAGGCATGAGGGAGCTTCAGTGCGGGGGCTAGCCAGCAGGCAGCCCCTGCACTGAAGCAGCTCATGCTCCAGCCAGCCCCTCCAGTGTCTACACATGCACTTCTGCAGATTTTTTTACTCTGTAGCAGGATAGTACTTGTAAATACAACTTGTAAATACAAGTACTATCCTGCTGTGGAGTAAATTAGTTTACTCAAAGCTAATAGAGGTGTGTGTGTAGAAGTTGAGACATTTACTGTGCAGCTAATTAGTCAACTGCTCAGTAAGCATCTCATGTATTAAATTAATCTAGATAGCATTGTTAACAACAGAGGAGAAGATATAGCAGCACCAGCTTCAGCATATGTTAGCAATCAGTACCCGGGATCCTTGTAATGTTTGTACTTTGGTTTCACGTAAAAGCTAAAGCCTTTGTCACTGAATTTTTACTGCTATATACCTATAGCTGTACCTAAATCAAGTTAGTATGGGTACAGTGATATATACTACAATTGTACCTTCATATCGTTATGTAGACATACCCTTAGCCTCTTTGGTCAATTTCTTATAAAGCCCACATATAATGAGAAGTGATTGGAATTTGAAGCATCCATATTCACTCTTTTCTAAATCTAAATGCTTTGTAGGAAATTTAACCTTCCAAGTCAGGATGTTAATTATATTTCAAAGAGATGCACTCTGTTGAACAAGCTTTCATTGTTGGTTTCAGGCTCTGGAAAGTGACTATGTCAGTGCACATCTTCATCATTGGATTGATCTGATTTTTGGTTATAAGCAACATGGCTCAGCTGCAGTGGAGGCGGTTAACACCTTTCATCCTTATTTTTATGGAGACAAGATGGACCTCAACAGCATTAGTGATCCTCTGATTAAAAGCACCATCCTGGGCTTCGTCAGCAACTTTGGGCAGATACCAAAACAGGTACACTATGAACTTCCCTCTTCCACATCTGCTCAATTAAATATTCAATATTAATACTCAAATAATACTCAATATTAAATACCAGGGCTGAACAGGAGTGTAGGTAAATAGCAGAGCATTTACATTTTTGGATCTAGTAGTATTTTTAGCCCCCATTTTACACAGGTATAAATGACACATGATAAAAGGTGGCAGGCAAAGAGGGGAAGGGGGAACTTGCACAGCTGTAGCTGACAGCAGACTGAGAAGACATCTGATCTGGGAGGTGTCATTGAGGGCAGAATGCAGAATCTTTGTCACTGGTGATGTTGCATGAGAGAGAGAGCTCCGTGTGATGCTCGGATCTGAGGGTGGTCCTGCAAGGCTGGAAGACAGAAATATGTCCTTTACAAATTTTGAAGTGAGCAAATGTATTTCAGATTCTGTGAGACCCAATAAATATGGAACCCTTATTATGTCCATTCCACATAGTTCTCCTTCAGTTTGGAACCTTGTTTTAATCAATGCTTGAAAAGTGCTTTGTAAGAAATTAAGGGCTTGATTTTAGACTTAGTTAGATCTGGTAGTCAGTGCAGGCACAGCAGTATGAACGTGGTATCAGTGTAGGTTTACCATATGTCCCAATTTATCTGGCACAATCTTGGATATCAGAGGCTGGTCCTGGCTGGCTCTTAAGAATTATAATGGGCGTCCCAGAAACACAGGGGCATGTGGAACAGTTGGAGAGGCATGGAGCACCTTGCAGGCAGGCAGACATCACTGCCTGCCCGGATGCAGCCCTGACCCACCAACTTGTGAGAGTTTTGTGGGGAGGAAGAAAGGGGGAGGGCAGTGTCCCAGATGAGGCCTGGATTTCCTTATGGTCAGCCTATGCAAGTGATAACTGAACCGGACCCATTCTGCTGGCATGCTTGAAATACGCCACCAAAATACACATTTCAGTTTAATGTATGATGGTTCTCAGCCTTTTTAGACTCAAGGCATCCCTCCCTAACTGTTCTGACTTTATTGGCACTCCCTTTCAAAAACCAATTTATTTATTACAGTGCATAAGAAGTAATATGACTAGAAATACATTTTTAAACAAACTGGAAAAAACATTAATAACCATTCTACTATTAAAAATGTCTTAGCCTGTTGGTCTATGTCTGTAATACTTTATTCGCACTCTGGTTGTCTGAGAATGCTCCAAAAGTGTTCCAGACAGGAGGTGGTGGCGCGGTGGAGTGCCACCATGATGGCAGGGGTGGAGCAGCTGGAGCTGGGGCGGGGGGAGGCACCCTGCTTCCTGCAGACGGCGGCAGCATGGGGTGCTGGCCAAGGGGGATGGAGAGTCAAGGTTCCCTCCCCATCCTGCTCCTGAGAGACGGAGGCGGTGGTGGTCCACCCCACTCATCATTCCTGACAGGCAATTGGCTAGTATTATTTGAATATTATAATTAATGAGACACTTGAGCCTGACAGTTCTACATCCCATTTTCCAATCTTTCAATAATTCTTCTGACTCCTTACTAAATCTTGTTTAATTTAGCACCATCCCATTTGAATTGCATTCCCCAAAACTAGACACAAGATTCCTGTCATAGTGCACTTGTACAGAACACAGAAGAAACATAATCTCTCTACCCATATTCAAGATTTGCCTGTTTATACATGAAAGTCATATTAGGTCCCTTAGCTATATTGTTGAGCACATGTTGAGCTGCTTAGCCCCAGGACCTCCAAATCTTTTTTGAAGTACTGTGTCCCAGCATAGTGTCCTTCATTCTGACCTGCATTTTAGTTCTAGATGCATCTTATGTTTGGTTGTATTGAAATGCATGCTGTTTAATTGCACCCAACTACCAACACAATTCCAATTACTCTATCAGTGGCCTGTCCTTTTCATTTACCGATCCTTCATATTTGTGTCATCTCCACATTTGACCCAAATTTATCGTGTTTTTAGGCCATTGTTAAAAATATGATGATCCACATGGGAATGCCCTTGAAACATAACTGCTACATAACAGCTCATATATAATTATTCCCTGTTTTACAGTTAAAGCTGAGACCTACTAGTTAAAAAGGAATTAAATTCCTTTTTAATTCCTTCAATACATACCATGTTGATTTTTTTATTGTTCTAGTTTCTTAATCAAAATGTTGTATGGCAATTGCCTGACAGAAGTTTTAAATTATTACATCAGCTTTATTATCTTTCTCAGCCAAACCTGTAATCTCATAAAAATTATGTCAAATTAGTTTTACAAGATTCATTTTCCGTTATCATATGTTGATTGGTATTAATTTAATTGCTTTCTATTAATTCTTTGTTAACTGAGTCCAGTAACAGCCATTTTATTTATCCTTCCTGCAATTGAGGTCAGGCTGGCACAACGTTATCTTTCTTCTAGTCCTGTTAAACTTCCCCATTTTTCCAAGACATTAAGAAATCTGTTTTAAGGGCCAGAATCTGTTACACCTGTTGAGTGTCCAACTGGACTTAAATTCCTAAATGCAATTCTATTCCACCCCATTCAAGTCCCTGAAAATCTGTTGATGCATCAATTTTTGTAATGCACCATCATCTGGCATTTGAGTGAATCACAAAAAGCGTTGAAGAGGAAGAGGACCCACCCACCCTTTTTATTAACTGTTGCTTTTGAGGACTTGAGCAGAGTGGAATAGAATCACACTTAAGTACCTAAGTCTACTTATGTACCTAGTAGATTGAACAGAATATGGACTCAGAAGTCTAGAAGACTCTTCAGCCAAATGTCTTTAATTGCAAGCTTTCGGGAACAAACACGCTTCATCAGGCATTGGAGAAAAGATTGTAAAAGTTCTCCTGGGTAGAAATGAAAGTTCATATTTCATAGGATTTCACAGAGGAGTCAATAGATGGAAAACTCCTCTGGGCAGTCAGTTCATAGCTGGTATGAAGCCTCTCACCTCCTGTGATGATCTGTGATGATGCAGATTATCTTGAAACAAAGGCAGCAGTGGGATCTCACATTTCAGGTGGTCACAGTTGCTTCCTGCTTGGGAAAATATGAAAATTTCATTTTAAAAAAATCGGCTAAAATTCGATAGCTTCCATGTGTCAGGTATCCAGGTTGTAGCCGTATTGGTCTAGAGGAAAAGGTAATCAGGACTTGTAGTAGAGATGATATCTCATTCTACCTAGTAGGCACTCAAGTGTAATTCAATTCCATACTGCTCAAGTTCCTGAAAACCAGTTAATCAGTTTTTGTTCTTTCTTTATTTTAGCTCTTTACTAAACATCATCCATCCAGAAATGTCCAAGGAAAAAATGCATCAGGGAAAGA